TATCGTTTCATTTAAAATATTCTTGATTTTGAATTTTTTTTTTCTTAATTATACTTATACATATTTATAAATAGAACCGCCACATTTGATAAAACTTCACAAAGCAGATGTACAACATAAAAACTAAAACAACAATAATTATAAATAAATGATATACATTTCACAATACAATAAGACACATTGACTTTTAAAAAAAAACAGAAAAGAAAACAAACTGATTTGGCATTTTTTTATGGATTTGATGATTGATTTATGGCAGTTATGGTGGGTAAAAGAACAAAAATAAAAATAAAAATAAAACAACTAGCCAATTTTATACAAATCGAAATGAATAAAAACACAAATCACCGTTGAAAGTTTATTCTCGCTGTTGTTGTTGTTGTTGTAATAAATCATGAATTATTTCTGTTTCTTCAAAAATAAGTTGTTTTAATTGTGGCAATGGTAAATCATCAAGTTCCATATCAAATGTAAATGGATGTGGAGCTATAGGTTCATCTGATGGATCATAATATTGAGCTAGATATGGATGTTTAAGTGCTTCTTCAACTGCAACACGACGATTTGGATTAAATGTTAAAAGATAATCAAGCATATTAAGTGATAAATCAGATGCATTTGGAAATAATTGTTTCCATGGTGTTCGTTTACGAACAGGTAATAAACTGACATAATTACGAGCTCGTTCATTAACTAAAAATATATATATATATATATATATGAGTTAAATCATTTATTAGTATCGTGACGGAGTACGAAAAAATGCTCTTATAACCGATTTAAAATTAATTTCAAACAGTACAAACCTTACTTCAGAATCTCTGGATAATAGTAAGATAAAAATTTTTATTTCAGGACTCGATAGAATCTCTAAAAAACGATTTTTTTTTTGGGGGAGTCTAATCCTACTAAAAATTTCACCATAGATGCAATTCATACCGTAGAATCTATCCTAATTTTTTTCTCATATAGTTAGAGAGATATTTGCTAATTACTTTTTAATTAATAGTCAACTAAATAGAACCTGTCGGATTCAAAATTTTCAGATTCGGACCAGCTCGATGGACTCTAGAGCTGAAAGAACTAATATTTTTATGTATGTCTATGATAAAAGAACTTATTCAGAAAAATAATCTTTATAAAGAATGAAAGATAGTTATATATTTCATTTTATCTGAAATGATCGATATGTATTAAACTTACTAATTGATGTTAAATCACCTTCATCTGGTGAACCAACTACATTTAAAATTAAATTTATTTGTTCAATATAATGTTTACCAGGAAACAAAGGTCTTTAAATTAAGGCAAAACAAAACAAAAATTATATTTATATTTACTAATAATTATTATTTAAAAATAACTTACTTTCCTCCAATCATTTCAGCTAAAATACAACCAACAGACCATATATCAATTGGTTTATAATAACCACGTGCATTGAGCATAATTTCTGGAGCTCGATACCATCGAGTAGCAACCTAGACATTATATCATATAATATTATTTTAATATTAATATAAATCTTATTTACATATTCTGTCAAGAGACCCGAATGATCTTTATTTGGATCAGCTATTCTTGCAAGACCAAAATCACATATTTTTAAGTCACAATTTGTATTTAATAATAAATTGCTTGGTTTAAGATCACGATGTAAACTAAAAATAAAATTAATATTTTAAAACAAAAAAAGAAAGAAAGAAAGAAAGAAAGAAACTTTCAATGAATATTTACATACACATTAGCTGAATGAATATATTTTAATCCACGTAAAATTTGATATAAAAAATAACAAATATGTTCATCTGTTAAACGTTGATGACGTAATAATTTATATAAATCACATTCCATAAGACATTGCACTATATAAATATCTTTCATTTGATCAATTGTTGGTGCACGCATGACTTCTTGAATATTAATTATATTTTCATGACGAAATCTTGCTAAAATTTTTATTTCACGTAATGTTCGTTGACAAAAACATTGATGTTCAAATGGAGTAATTTTTTTAATAGCAACACGTTGTAGAAGTTTATGATCATATGCTGATGCAACCATACCTTTAAAATAGAAATAAATAATTATTTATTTATTTAATAGACAAAATGTTAAATTAAAAATAATTTAAGAATGACAAAGAAAAAAATAAATAAAATAAAAATAA